ACAACTTCTTAGCCAAATGAAAACACTACCTTTGTATATTCCTTTTGTAGCATCTTATTTCATTCTACTAGTAAAGATTTTACCACCGAAGCTGAAAAGTAAGATGCCAAATACCTCTGGTGAAGATATGTCTGGTAATGTCATCTAGAGAAAAAAAACCCACAGATTTTAGTGTTAGACAAAGTTAGGGTACAGTCCTGCTTCTGTAGTGTAGTTTCTGTTTCTATGTATTAGGTTATTAAGTATGAAATGTCTGATTTCCTTAAGTATTAAGTTTGATAGTTGATATCTCTGACATTTCACTTTGACATTTCTTATTTTATGTTTATTGTGAGGTATATCCTCAGTCTTTCAAAGGCATGTTTTGGCTTGTGATTATCTTTCAAAATTTTTTTAGAGCAATTTTTGTGACACCATGGATAAGTCAAAAATTCGTGTTATTTTCAAATATAAGTTCCATCATGGAACCAATGCAGCGCAGACAGCTCAAAATATCAGTGAAGTGTTTGGGAAGGATGTGGCTAATGAATGCACAGTACATCCACAGTTTGAGAAATTCTTCTGTTCTGGTGATTTTAATCTTGAAATTGAGCCATGTGGGCGACCTGGAGACTAAGGTAGATGATGAGCTGAAAGCTGTAGTGGAAGCGAATCCATCTGAACCTACGTGTGAATTAGCAGCAAGGTTTGATGTTACTATTCCAACATTTGGACCATTTGAAATAAATGGGCAAGGTAAAGAAGCTGGATAAATGGGTTCTGCATGAATTACAAGCCTAAGAAGAGAAATCGTCTCGAAGCTTGCCCTTCTTTGCTGTCACGACATAAAAGCAAACCATTTCTGTACCATACTGTGACATGTGATGAAAAATGGATTCTTTTTGATAATCGCAAGCATCTGGCACAATGGTTGGATAAATATGAAGTGCAGAAACACAGTCCAAAACCAAATAGTCATCAAAAAAACCTAACGGTGTCTGTTTGGTGGTCCAGCACTAGTACTATCCCCTATGGCTTCAGGAAACCTGGTCAGTTGATTACAGCAAATGTCTACTGCAACCAATTGGACAAAATGATGATGCTTGTGATTAAGCAGCCGAGACTGGTCAATAGAGACAGGCCAATCCTCTTGCAAGACAACGCTCGACCACATGCTGCACATATCAACACTGCTATAACCACAGAAGCTGGACTTGGAAACTGTCTGTCATCCACTGTATTCACCAGACCTTGAACCAACTTCTTCCAGGCTTTGGACCACTTCTTGCAAGGAAAAATATTTAATTCTCAACAAGCTGTGGAAAACACCTTTCGCAATTTTA